GACTTGGATTTGCCTTCATTGAAGCTCATAATGTTCCCTTCAGGCCACTTTTTCCAACCTGTTTAGGCCCCTCTGAATAGCAGCCCTGCCCTCCGGTGTATTGACCATTCCCCCAGTTTGGTATCATCCACAAATTTGCAGGAAGTGCCACCTGTCCCATAGTCCAGGTTGTTAGTAGAGACATTAGGCAGTATTGGCCCTAGTATCACTAGCTGAGGCTGAGGGATAGCTCTAGTGACAGACCACCGGTTGGACTCTCTACTACTCATTCAATCCTTTTGAGGCCAGCTGTCCAGCCAATTTTCCACTCCCTGTATTATCCACTTATCCAGTCTATCTCTTACCACTGTGGCCATAAGGATACTATGGAAGACCATGTTAAAGCACTTACTAAACTTAAGGTGAAAAACATCCACAGCTCTCCCCTTACCCACAGTGTAAGTCACATCATTGTAGAAGGTAGTTGGGTTAACCAGGCACAATTTGCCCTCAGTAAGTGGATGCTGGCCATTCCCAATCATCTTCCTGTCTTTCATGTGCTTGCCAATGGCTTCCACGATGATTTGCTCCATAAGCTTACAGAGGTCTGATGTGAGGCTGGCTGGCCAGTAGTTCCCCAGATTCCCCCTCCTGCCTTTCTTGATGTTTACCTCATCCAGTCATCAGGAACCCTACCCTGTTCTTGTGACTTACCAAAGATTATAGAGAGTGACCTCACTAAGACATATATTACTGTATGATCTTCAGATGTATCCTTTCTAGTCCCATAGACCCATATAAGTTTTTTTCTGCTTTGCAGCATATCTCAGTTCCTAAAATATGGGTTTGGATCTTAGTTCAAATTGACCCAGGCTGCCGAAGTGAATAATAAAGATTCCAAGATTTGCCGGGTTTTGAGCAATATCCTTAAAATCACATCATGTTCTTTTGATCGTAGAGATAAAATGTAGTCACAAAAATTGGAGGCAGATTTTGGAGACACCTGTCTTCGAGGCAGTTTTTCAGTGGCTTTATGAAATAATTGGCCACTTGCAAAAACCAGATTTGAATAGAAGCTTACATTTTGAATGGTTATGTTTACTTGTTTCATAAAAGAAGCTGAAATTTAGGTTTTCTGAAATATTCCCAAACCATGACCTGTGTTCAGAGTTTCAGGCATTTAATAGTATTCAAAGCCAAATAAATCCTGTCTGGTGTCAGTCTTCTCTTTAAGAAAGTGACCGGGCTCTATTGCCACCTGGTAGAGATTCCGCTTTAGTTCAAAAACTTCAGAACTAGAACCTGGAGAACTGATCTTTCACTGCTAAACCCCTGCAGACACTGATGTGACATAATGAAAGACTGAATACCCCTGTAACTTCACCTGGTAACTTAGTCAACATTCCTGATCCAGTGCTGAAGAACCGACAGCTCAAGCTTGCGCTTTTTAATAGGGTATTTTAATATCCAGAAGCAGTGCATATTCCATGGTGCAATGCACTATTGTTAAAACAATAAGTATCCTAATTTAGTAAACCGTAGGTATAGCATGTCGGTAATGATTTTGATCACTTCTTGTCTATAGATCCAGGGACGAGATACCTGAGAGAATGCTCCAGAATTAGGAGCTTACAGTGGAAAAAAACAATGTAAGCTGTCCCGGATTGCCTTATGTAAACAGATGTCCTTTTCTTTAGATCCCTGTTTCTGTCTGAGTTTTCTGGTGGGAATTCAATAAGGATGTAAGTGGGGCTGCAAACATCACTTTAAATTCACAGTAAAGTCTAGAAGTTTCACATGATGAGCTTTATCATAATTCAGAAGGAATCTAAATGTCAGTTACATGACACTGCTTTATTTGTGTCTTTCAGTTCTTTTTCTTGTCCCTCATCACAACAAAAAACATCAGAAATGTGCCAAAAAGTCTGAAACAACAACAACAAAAGGAGTAATAAATATGCTGAGGTTGCCTTTCACAGAGAAAAAAAGAGTGGAAAATGGTCTGTAGGATGAATATCACCATGAAAATCTGATCCAGATTTTGAACATCCTTTCTCTCCATTCCATATAAATATAGCTTCTCCAGTGTGATAGCTTGGAAATAAGTAATTCACTTCTGCTCTTTATTTGAGACCTAAAGCTTGTATTTGCATTTCAAATATATACTAAAGTTTGATAGTGGTGAGGTGAAGAATGAATTGAAGTCATTTCTAACAGAAACACGGGTGGTGATGTGCTTCAGTTTCTGTTGTGTATAGGCCTCAGCTATTCTATTTCACGTAGCTGTAATACCTTTTTCCCACATTCTGCTATTCACATTCGCTTTCTTTTACCAATGTTTTCTCATGACTTTGAGTTTAAGGAATTTCATCAATACATCTCTCAGATTATCCAAAATGTTAGAGGTACTGTCAGATGTCTTCTTGCTCACTTGGATCTTCATGCTGTTAGAGTTCATCATGTATTAAAGTCAGAATCACCAGGAAAGTCGAAGGGTATTTATCCTTTTTGGTTTGTTTTACTAAATCTCTGTGAAAATAAGAAAAGCTGGCTTGATTCCCTCTATTTATGCATAGAAATAACTCTTGTTCACTGAATGACCCTTACCCTATAGATCCAGTCATCCATGCCATGGGAAAAAAAAATTGTTGTGTCTATTCATTTTCACTGGATGTCATCCAGAAAGCAGAAATATTACTGCTTATGTTCATCTCATGTTGATGAACTGCAATAAAGGACTCTTCATATGCCAAAGTTAATCTGCTAACGTAAGATTTACTGCTCTTTGCAGTGCCATGCCAAATGTACATCTTCAGCACTTCTCCTTGTTTTTTAACCTTAACTCTTTACACCTGGCAAATCACCCTACCATTAAACTGTACCCAAGTAAAAAAGTTTTAAATTACCTGAAACTTTCTCCCTTCTCTGAAACATAAAATCATTTGATATGTTGGCCTGTGAGGACACACACACACATTCACATACAAATGGAAATGCCAGCATTGTCATTTACAGAAGAATTCTTCAAGCAGCAGTTGCAGCCTTTAAGTCTATAAAATAGTCCTTCCTAGGGGAGTAAATGAAAATCAGAACTATATTACTTGAGCAGTTAGTTAGGTTCAGATCCTGCAAGTCATACCTAAGGTGAGCAAGAACTTTACCTGAAAACTTTAAGGAGTTGCAGACTCAGCTCCATTTTCAGAAAGCTGTTCCAGAAAACATGTCAGTCCATTTGTTAGCTGTGCTTGCTGGCAGTTATATGCAAATCCATTTGTATACTGATTACTTTTTCTATATGATGTTATTACATAGCACACATGGCATAAAAAAATTAAAAACTATCTAGTAGAGCATGTGTGAATGTATATAGACAGCAGAGTTCTGTCCCATGCTGTTAATGCATGTGTGCCCCAACCCCTTGCTTTCAGTTTGTTCGTAAGTGCCAGCAGCTTATTCCACAACTGATGTAGAGGTCTGTGCCAGTGCAAAAGAAAAAAAAAAAAAAAAAACCAGTTACACTTTTTTTCTCTTACTTTGAAGCAGTGAATTGCGTCCAAAGGGCCAGTCTAAGTTCACCTTGAGGGCATTAGCAGAGGCTACTTTAAAATAAAAATCTTTTAGTACTAGTCAATTGAAAGATAAAGCCTTTTCTGTTCTGTGTAAATAATTTTTGATCACTGTACTGTTCTAAGGCAATTCCCTATTAGCATATCCTATAGCTTATTGTCAGACCCTGTCCGCAGGGTACAATTGTGACACAGGCTGTGAATATTCAGCAATAGGAGTCTGTAAATCTGAGTAAGTAATGACAAAGCCTCTTTAGGGAAAGCCAGAATGAGGTGAGCTGAGTAGAATAATGGCAGTCTTGGGGGGCAAGGGGGTATTTTAATTTAATCAAAGCCAGAGCAACTGAAAAAGATACTATTAAAAGGACTTGCTCTCTGAAGTAAATACTTTTCAGATAAATGCATAGTTCAAACTGACGTGCTAAATTGACATCCTTACATGCACTCTATTCTCTGGATCAAAGCAAAGTTAATCATTTCACTTGCCTTTTATCTATTTTATGGATGTGTGTGTGGGTATGTGTGTGTATGTATGTGTAAGGTGTGCGCATGTGCACACGTGAGTAGCAGAAAATAACGGCAATGAGGGAGGGGGTTTTGCTTTTTCTGTAATGAAGTTGAAGATTTTTTTTTAATGTAGTGGTACCTAACAGTCATTGCCCACTGTTGTAAAAGCTCAGAAGTATTGCAGCTTTCTTTTGCCTGTGTTTGCCCAGCCACCCTTCTACATACTACAAGCACTGGGAAATTTCAATGACACAGCTTGGAATGGGTTCAGTGACCTCAATTATGCCCTCCCACCCACTCTAAACTCCTTTCAATTTGCAAAAAGCTTTAAGTGGACAAAACCCAGATGCCTTTTGCTTGTAGTTCAGTAAGAACAGATTGGGCATGTAGATTCTTGTCAAAGTGATATATGTAGTTCATTTTCCATTAACTCTTTCTTAACTAAGGATTTTAAATTCTCAGTTCCAAGTCTAGCAATCTGCTTTGCTTTCTACTGCTTTTTAAAGTTCATTATGCCTACATCATTTAAAAAAATGAACCTTAGAAAGCTTCGGCTAGACATTGACTGATACGAAACAGACTGAATGTTTGGTTCTGCTTTTAAAGGCAGTCACTTTTTTTTCTTTTTAAACTTGTTTCGTATGTAATAACCCATCCTATTGTCTAAGACAGTTCAAAAGCACTAACTAAGTATAATAAGTAAAAACACCCAGCTGGGGGGGAGAAAGAAATCATGACTTGTGGAAATGATTTACCAGTCAAAACCAGTACATGGGCCCTGATGACCTTGAGAGCTTGCTTCCGTTGGCTTGCTTAAACTTAGATTGCTTTCATAATGGTGTAATATTGCCCCAAAGAGTCGGTGCCTCTCCCCTCCCCCAGACCATTTCATTACACTCCCTTTCTCCCTCTCTCTCTCTCTCTCTCTCTTTCTCTTTCATTCTGCAGAAACATGTGCTGTCAATAACGGAGGCTGTGATCGGACTTGCAAGGATACCGCGACAGGGGTACGATGCAGTTGCCCAGTTGGATTTACCCTGCAGCCTGATGGGAAAACGTGCAAAGGTCAGCTTCTGTTTGCTTTGCAATGCATCATTTGCCTTCAGCGGTTCCAGTACAAGATGTAAATACTCAGTTATTTAATCAATACTTTTAAGTTAAGGCAATACTGGCATAGAGATTGCAATTGAGTTCATTAGCTTTCTCCTTCCCTAATTTTTCTGTATTTACCTATTTCAATCATTTTTCTCTCTATTTATTAGAGGGTTTTATCACTGCAAAGAAATAACATACAGAGGTCAAACTGTTTCAAACTGACCAGAGATTTAGAGGAGCAATCCTGGGCTGCAAAAAAGCTTTCAGTTTGAAAGGATAGTCTGATACCCTTGCAAAACTTCAGTCATCTAATGGTGTCTGTATTTGTCTATTCAAAAAGCGAGTTAAAATTCTCAACTGGTACTTTGTTACCTGCAGATAATCAACTGGTTATTGCCAAGCAAAAGATGCAGAGGTATTGCTCAAAAAAACCCAGATAATTGTCCATTTCTGCCCCTTCAAAACACAAGTAGCCAGCTACAAAGGCAAACCAAAACAACATTTACTAATGCACAGGCCTAAACTGTATAGCTGATGCTCAGATTTTACTGTTGCAAAGGCAGCACAAGAACCTTGGCATTTTGTCCTTCATGAGTGTGTTAAAACTGAGGTCAGGGAAGAGAGAACAGAAAAGAGCATCTGATACCACTGTCAACATCTGTTCTCAGTTAGGGGACAGGGGCAGTTCTCAAATATCCCTGCCGAATCGCATTTAATGGCACTATGCACATGAGTAGATTTGGATACGTTAGTAGGACCAGGCCCTCCATCAACCATTTGCCTATCTTCCTATGTATTTCTTTTGAGCTCCATTGCAAGAGACTTGGTGATGGACATCCAGGAGGACACTGCATATATTGTTGCCACAGAGAATACTTTTTTATCACTCAGTGACTTAGAGTAAGTTGACCTAACTTGCTAAGAAACTATTGGGACCTTTTTCCTTCAAAGTAACCAGAAATGTCAGAATAACTTCAGTCCAGGGCTTGATGTTACTTAAAATAGTAAAACCCACAAAAATAAACAGAAAATGTGTGGTTTCCCCTTGCTCCAGGCTGAAAAATCCCAGTGCTTGGGCATGATCCTGTTAGTATTTATAGAAATAACAGTCCATTTGCCTGTTTATTTGAAAATAAAACATTTAAACTGCCATTGCACACAATGTTAATAGTTAAGGGTGAGCACACATCAAAAAAAAATTGTTTTAGTTCAAGCCACATAAAAATAAATCTTCATTTTTACAGGCAGACTAGCTAAGCCATAGCAGAGCAGTAACGGTGATTCCACCAAGTGCTTAAAAAGAAGGCATTTTAATACTGTAACATACACCTAGACTTGATCATAATGTTTATTATTGAAACTGCATCATGAAGAAAAAGATTAATTCTAAATTTAGAAGTTTGGCCATAGAACTAATATGAAACAATATTTATATAATCATCAAGTCTATAATTAATGCTGCAGACAAAATGAAATATTCAACTGATCCTCAAACCAAATGCCCTAGCTCTAAACTGTTTCACTTTTTTTTTCTTTTCCCCTTTTTTATGAGAAGAAAATACAAGAAACAGAATCTGTATTTTTATGATGCTGCAGATTCTTTCTTATTTTCTTAAAATAAGCAGCAACTAGAAGTGAACTCACATGGTTTAGCAACCAACCAGGCCATTTCTTTTTAACCTTTATTGACATTTTAGGAAATACTCTTCATCATAAAATGGTAAAATATGTTTTGCATTTAATTTAACTGTAATTAATAATATTTATCTAACGTATTGCAGTGTGAGATTTCTGGCTAGATTCGGCTTCCCTGAAGCTAAAGTAACTTCCCATTTAAATCTGTGCATAAAGGATACTGCACTTAAACTGACCAGTGAAGCTTCTTCTGTAGCTTTCGCAGGCAGCCCTTAGTCAAGACCACTCTCTAAGATTTACATGTTCTGAGTGCAAAAATGAGCATTTTGGTGGAGTGACATTGATGCCTTCTCGGCTCCTCTTGCTTATAGCTAAAGCCTGGAAAAGGCTGGGGTGGGGAAATCCAGTGTACACATATTCATTCCTCTGAGTTCTATAGGAAACAAAAGAAAAAAGTGATCACATCAAGTTTTCTCCTTTGATTTTTTTCTCTTTACTCTCCTTGATTTGACTGGCCCACAATTTCTCGTATGTACAGTTCATTGTTCCCTCTAGCTGTAACATTATATTCGCGTGGTAAGAGCAATGGATTATCTATTGGATGCCCTTTAAAGCATCTTCAGGGACCATGCAGCTGTCACATCCTGTCTTTCCTGGGCAGAGTTTTCAAGTCCATCAAGTGTCACAGCATCTCCAAGTGAGGTTTTTCATATAAGCATCATTTCAAGAGAGGTTATATTTCTCACTGTAGGAGAAGGATATGCCATTATCTATCAAAAGAAAGTAGAGAGACAGGGCATGTAAGAAAAGCTGAGAGAAATTGGAGGGAAAATCAATATATTAACGGAAAAATGCAATTGTGGGTTGAGCAAAATTATTAATATGTTTGGGTTGAATTTAGCAAATAATGTTGACCAAAAAGAATGTTTTTATTGGAAAGTCTACAATTTTCAGTCCATTTTGGCATCTTCCTGTCTAAGACATTTTACATAGTGCAGCTATTATTTGAAATTATGTAGTTGCTTTGATTCAAGAGGCTTAAATAAGACACAAAGAAACACCTGAACTTTTGAGTACTCCAAGTGGACATAGTGTAATTTATGAATCTGTAATTCTAGCTCACTTGTAGGTGATTTCCTCAATAGTGCACTTTTATTCTTCCTTATTTTTTACAAGGGAATCAGGTAAATTAAAGAACATTTTTATTTTTAAATTAATAAAATAATCTATATTTTTTTTAATAACAAAAATTCCTAGATGGTTCTGTTCAAAAATCAGGACTAGTCTGGTTTAGGCATTGTATAGTCATACAATGGGAAAAAGAGTTTACTGTCCAAAATGTTCACAGGTTTTTGTTTAGTAGTTTGGAATTTCATTAACTGTTTAGTATAGGAAAAAGGCAAGTATACATACAAAAGGAAAGGCAATTTTTTAAGAAAGAGTATATGCAAACATGCTTTATTTGCCAAAAGATGGCAAATAAACTCTATTAAGTGTAACTAATTGTTCTACACTTTGTTTGCAATATCGTATTTCATACTTTATAGTTCTGTCATAAAAGCTGGGATGGATTCAAATCACAGAGTACAGAACTGAGTCAGGACTGAAACTCTGGTATTTCTCCTGGCCCCTTCCCAACATGTCAGAGAATGGAGGGTGCAGGAAAGCAATTTCCAAGTAATACAAGGGACCTACCTTCAGTAGTTTTGAATGTCGACCTCTTTCACAGGCTCAGTGGGAAATGAGAGTTCATTGTACCTCAAAGAATCAAGCTCCTTTTGTTAATGCACAGTGCAGTCTGGTTTACATCAAATGTCAATAAAATAGGAAAAAAAAGTTGTTGTGCAGAAAGTTTTAACTGGAATGTGTACAGGTAGCTGCATAGCCAGTAGGAAGACTACTGTAGCAGAAGATTGTTTTGGTTTCTGGAAGATGAAAAAACCTTTTTTTGTCTCTGATTCTTTCTCCCTTACATATATTATTTACCTGATCTCGCAGTGAAGTAAGAGCAAAAGTGCTGTCTGTGGTCTAGTTAGAGAGACCTTCAGGTGTATTGATCGTGGCTGGGATAAAAATTCATTAACATTTTGATGTTCTTTAAAAGTCAGTCTCAAACTCAAGTCTTCCCTCAGCTGGGTTGGCGCACAATGGAGAATGCTCCTTTTTTCCCTTCAGCTTTCCTATCAACTTGGCTCTTAATAAGCCAAACCACAGAGGCTTTTGTCAGCTAAGAGAAGAGACACATCCCAGGCAGAAAGAGTTCCATATTCTCCCTCTAATTAATGCTATTTAATTTCTCCTACCATTGTAACTGGGTGATCCCAGCTTGATGCTGAGTTCATTTGATGCTGTCAATTATTGTGCCACATATGACAAAACAGTGTAGTTCATTTCCTTAAATGCCGACCAAGTCATCCCACACAAGTCAGCTAATGCAGACAGAAAGGGAGCCAGAGGATTAAAAGACCTAGTGGCCCAGGTTGCTTATTGCTCATTGCCTCCTACCCACTTCTTAATATCCCCTATATTATGCATATCGGAGGTTCTGTGGTCCCTAGCTCCCTTGCTTTTTGGTTTCTGTGCATCCTTCCTGCTGAGCACCCTTTTCATGCATCCAGCTGTAATCTGCCCTCAGTGAGAAGATTCATCAGCTTAGCATTTTAATTATATTAAATACAACTTATGTAGCTGATAAAGCAGGAGAGTCATATGCAAAAAAACTTGCGGGGTTCAAGAGGAGTGAAGTCAGACTAGATTAGACGTAGCACAGATTTCTGAAGATTGTTTAAATCCAGCTGCCAAACTGGATCAAACAATAAAGGGCTTGTCTGCCCGAGGGCAGCTCCAGAAGGATGGGAGACAAGCTGAGCAAGGGAGCATTCTTCTTCCAGGACTTAGGGTAGAGAAGGACTGGGAATGACCACAAAAGACGTCCGAGAGAGACAGGGGCTTTCTTTGTGGGTTCTCTAAGAAGTGAATTAGAGCAAGAGGAAGGGCCACAAGCTTTTATCATGGTGTAAAATGTAGGACTGTGTGTCTGATGTGCTCCGTCTCTGCCTCAGGGATTTAACAAAGAAACCGTGCCCCCAAGGCACTCTTGTGCCCCAGAATAGTGCAGCTTCCCAGCACGGTACACATCGACATAGAGGAACTGTGCAGGGTGCAGCACTTGCCGAACTCCTAGAGTCAAATGGCAGAGAAAATATAATTTTTAAGCAGGAGAAGAGAAGCATAACTGGATTCCTAATGGTTATGGAGCAAAAGCCACATCTCAAATATGGCTTTTCCGTAAACACCTATAAAGTGCCACCTAACTTTGCAGTGCCCCATAGATG